ACATACTAGACAGAATATATTGTAATGTGTTTAGACACTGAAGACGCCGTAGAGATTGTTAATTGGTTTATGTAACAATCTACCAGTCTCGGCTACAATTATTTATAACACTGTTGCGGGGTTTCACACTTTATAACACTTTTCGCAATAATCTGTTCACTCTGTTCTCAGTAGTCTACACGTTTTTACAGTACGGGAGCTAAACAAGTGCAACTGTGTCACACACTCCCAATTATTACTCGGTTATCACGAACTATCACTCGTTCACTGCTGACTGGAGAACTAACTCGTAGGCTTGCTCGGAACTAACTCGGAACTGACTGTGAATAGTCTTCGCTGCTCCGTATCTAGCCTCGTTCCGGACAACTCAGAAAACAGCCACGTAATAGGCACCATTGTTGTCTGGTGCCGTGTTGCCAGCAACGCTGTCCGGAGTTNAACATCCTCGACCTAGGGGTCTTCTGGATTCGGTAAACCACATCATTTATCCGGGTCACTACTTTGTAAGGACCTTCCCATGATGCTTGTAGTTCGGCGATTTCCCCTTTCTGCGGGTTGGGCGATAGAGCCAAACTCTGTCGCCTTCGCCGTAACCTGCGGAGTTGGCCAGTTTATCGTACCGAGTTTTCATCCGGTCACTGGCGAGTTTCAGGTGTTTCCGGGCATAATTGTGGATGTCGTGCAGATGATCCACCAAGTCTGCTGCATAATCGGTTGTGGGAAGTTCTTTGTCTGGGGGTACTCCAAACAGCAGGTCGCAGGGTAGTCGTAGTTCTCGTCCGAACACTAGGCCAGCAGGGGTCAGGCCCGTTGTGTCGTGAGTGGATGCCCTGTAAGCTAGGAGAAAGAGGGGTAACCTCTCGTCCCAGTCCCTTTGGTGGGATGCGACGACCTTCCGCAAGTGCTCCTCGATGGTTTTGACGTAGCGTTCCACCATACCATCCGACTGTGGGTGCAGGGGTGTGGTGCGCGTCTTGCTCACTCCCAGGCGTTGCAAAACTTCTCGCAGTAGATGAGATTAAAGTTGCGGCCTTGGTCACTGTGCAACTCCCGAGGAATGGCGAAGCGGCAGAAGAAGTTGGCAACCAGAAATTCCGCTATTGTCGAAGCCTCCTAATTTGGAATGGCGTAAACTTCCGGCCACTTGGTGAAGTAGTCAATAGCGTTCAGTAACTATCGGTTTCCTTGGTCGCTTCGGTGTCAACAAAACTCTGAACAAGGTTCGGCAGAGATTCTACTGGCTCCAAGCAAGAATCGATATTGAGAAATGGCGTCGACCGTGTGAAATATGTACAGCCAGTCAGGGACCACGGATCAGGAATTGTGGTCAAATGCACCAGTATAATGTCAGGCCTCCCTTCGAAAGAGTAGCCATTGATATCGCAGGAAGAAATCGGCTACGCGAACAGAAGGCTCTGAGAGCAACTCCGACAGTACAGATAGCCTTTTGAACGAGACCGGAAGCGCAGCAAAATACGTCATAATCGTTCTGAAAACAGCAGCAGTGATACTGATTGCCCAGTTCCTAGACCTGCGATGACAGGAAAAAAGAAGAAATCGGCTCACCGAACAGAAGGCTCTGAGAGCAATTCCGACAGTAAAGACAGCCCTTTTGAACGAGACCGGAAGCGCAGAAAGAGACGTCATAATCGTTCTGAAAGCAGCAGCAGTGATACTGATTGCCCAGTTCCTAGACCTGCGATGACAGGAAAAGGAACAAATCGGCTCGCCGAGCAGAAGGCTCTGAGAGCAATTCCGACAGTAAAGACAGCCCTTTTGAACGAGACCGGAAGCGCAGAAAGAGACGTCATAATCGTTCTGAAAGCAGCAGCAGTGATACTGATTGCCCAGTTCCTAGACCTGCGATCACAGGAAAAAAATAAGAAATCCGCTAGCCGAACAGAAGGCTCTGAGAGCAACTCCGACAGTAAAGACAGCCCTTTAGACGAGACCGGAAGCGCAGAAAGATACGTCATAATCGTTTTGAAAGCAGCAGCAGTGATACTGATTGCCCAGTTCCTAGACCTGCGATCACAGGAAAAAAATAAGAAATCCGCTAGCCGAACAGAAGGCTCTGAGAGCAACTCCGACAGTAAAGACAGCCCTTTAGACGAGACCGGAAGCGCAGAAAGATACGTCATAATCGTTTTGAAAGCAGCAGCAGTGATACTGATTGCCCAGTTCCTAGACCTGCGATCACAGGAAAAAAATAAGAAATCCGCTAGCCGAACAGAAGGCTCTGAGAGCAACTCCGACAGTAAAGACAGCCCTTTAGACGAGACCGGAAGCGCAGAAAGATACGTCATAATCGTTTTGAAAGCAGCAGCAGTGATACTGATTGCCCAGTTCCTAGACCTGCGATCACAGGAAAAAAATAAGAAATCCGCTAGCCGAACAGAAGGCTCTGAGAGCAACTCCGACAGTAAAGACAGCCCTTTAGACGAGACCGGAAGCGCAGAAAGATACGTCATAATCGTTTTGAAAGCAGCAGCAGTGATACTGATTGCCCAGTTCCTAGACCTGCGATCACAGGAAAAAAATAAGAAATCCGCTAGCCGAACAGAAGGCTCTGAGAGCAACTCCGACAGTAAAGACAGCCCTTTAGACGAGACCGGAAGCGCAGAAAGATACGTCATAATCGTTTTGAAAGCAGCAGCAGTGATACTGATTGCCCAGTTCCTAGACCTGCGATCACAGGAAAAAAATAAGAAATCCGCTAGCCGAACAGAAGGCTCTGAGAGCAACTCCGACAGTAAAGACAGCCCTTTAGACGAGACCGGAAGCGCAGAAAGATACGTCATAATCGTTTTGAAAGCAGCAGCAGTGATACTGATTGCCCAGTTCCTAGACCTGCGATCACAGGAAAAAAATAAGAAATCCGCTAGCCGAACAGAAGGCTCTGAGAGCAACTCCGACAGTAAAGACAGCCCTTTAGACGAGACCGGAAGCGCAGAAAGATACGTCATAATCGTTTTGAAAGCAGCAGCAGTGATACTGATTGCCCAGTTCCTAGACCTGCGATCACAGGAAAAAAATAAGAAATCCGCTAGCCGAACAGAAGGCTCTGAGAGCAACTCCGACAGTAAAGACAGCCCTTTAGACGAGACCGGAAGCGCAGAAAGATACGTCATAATCGTTTTGAAAGCAGCAGCAGTGATACTGATTGCCCAGTTCCTAGACCTGCGATCACAGGAAAAAAATAAGAAATCCGCTAGCCGAACAGAAGGCTCTGAGAGCAACTCCGACAGTAAAGACAGCCCTTTAGACGAGACCGGAAGCGCAGAAAGATACGTCATAATCGTTTTGAAAGCAGCAGCAGTGATACTGATTGCCCAGTTCCTAGACCTGCGATCACAGGAAAAAAATAAGAAATCCGCTAGCCGAACAGAAGGCTCTGAGAGCAACTCCGACAGTAAAGACAGCCCTTTAGACGAGACCGGAAGCGCAGAAAGATACGTCATAATCGTTTTGAAAGCAGCAGCAGTGATACTGATTGCCCAGTTCCTAGACCTGCGATCACAGGAAAAAAATAAGAAATCCGCTAGCCGAACAGAAGGCTCTGAGAGCAACTCCGACAGTAAAGACAGCCCTTTAGACGAGACCGGAAGCGCAGAAAGATACGTCATAATCGTTTTGAAAGCAGCAGCAGTGATACTGATTGCCCAGTTCCTAGACCTGCGATCACAGGAAAAAAATAAGAAATCCGCTAGCCGAACAGAAGGCTCTGAGAGCAACTCCGACAGTAAAGACAGCCCTTTAGACGAGACCGGAAGCGCAGAAAGATACGTCATAATCGTTTTGAAAGCAGCAGCAGTGATACTGATTGCCCAGTTCCTAGACCTGCGATCACAGGAAAAAAATAAGAAATCCGCTAGCCGAACAGAAGGCTCTGAGAGCAACTCCGACAGTAAAGACAGCCCTTTAGACGAGACCGGAAGCGCAGAAAGATACGTCATAATCGTTTTGAAAGCAGCAGCAGTGATACTGATTGCCCAGTTCCTAGACCTGCGATCACAGGAAAAAAATAAGAAATCCGCTAGCCGAACAGAAGGCTCTGAGAGCAACTCCGACAGTAAAGACAGCCCTTTAGACGAGACCGGAAGCGCAGAAAGATACGTCATAATCGTTTTGAAAGCAGCAGCAGTGATACTGATTGCCCAGTTCCTAGACCTGCGATCACAGGAAAAAAATAAGAAATCCGCTAGCCGAACAGAAGGCTCTGAGAGCAACTCCGACAGTAAAGACAGCCCTTTAGACGAGACCGGAAGCGCAGAAAGATACGTCATAATCGTTTTGAAAGCAGCAGCAGTGATACTGATTGCCCAGTTCCTAGACCTGCGATCACAGGAAAAAAATAAGAAATCCGCTAGCCGAACAGAAGGCTCTGAGAGCAACTCCGACAGTAAAGACAGCCCTTTAGACGAGACCGGAAGCGCAGAAAGATACGTCATAATCGTTTTGAAAGCAGCAGCAGTGATACTGATTGCCCAGTTCCTAGACCTGCGATCACAGGAAAAAAATAAGAAATCCGCTAGCCGAACAGAAGGCTCTGAGAGCAACTCCGACAGTAAAGACAGCCCTTTAGACGAGACCGGAAGCGCAGAAAGATACGTCATAATCGTTTTGAAAGCAGCAGCAGTGATACTGATTGCCCAGTTCCTAGACCTGCGATCACAGGAAAAAAATAAGAAATCCGCTAGCCGAACAGAAGGCTCTGAGAGCAACTCCGACAGTAAAGACAGCCCTTTAGACGAGACCGGAAGCGCAGAAAGATACGTCATAATCGTTTTGAAAGCAGCAGCAGTGATACTGATTGCCCAGTTCCTAGACCTGCGATCACAGGAAAAAAATAAGAAATCCGCTAGCCGAACAGAAGGCTCTGAGAGCAACTCCGACAGTAAAGACAGCCCTTTAGACGAGACCGGAAGCGCAGAAAGATACGTCATAATCGTTTTGAAAGCAGCAGCAGTGATACTAATAGCCAAGTTCCCAGACCTGCGATGACAGGAAAAAGGAATAAATCATCTCGCCTAACAGAAGGCTCTGAGAGCAACTCCGACAGTACAGACAGCCTCTTTGAACGAGACCGGAAGCGCAGAAAGATACGTCATAATCGTTCTGAAAGCAGCAGCAGTGATACTGATTGCCCAGTTCCTAGACCTGCGATCACAGGAAAAAAATAAGAAATCCGCTAGCCGAACAGAAGGCTCTGAGAGCAACTCCGACAGTAAAGACAGCCCTTTAGACGAGACCGGAAGCGCAGAAAAATACGTCATAATCGTTCTGAAAGCAGAAGCAGTGATACTGATTGCCCAGTTCCTAGATCTGCGATGACAGGAAAAGGAAGAAATCGGCTCGCCGAGCAGAAGGTTCTGAGAGCAACTCCGACAGTACAGACAGCCTCTTTGAACGAGACCGGAAGCGCAGAAAGATACGTCATAATCGTTCTGAAAGCAGCAGCAGTGATACTGATTGCCCAGTTCCTAGACCTGCGATGACAGGAAAAAAGAAGAAATCGGCTATGCGAACAGTAGTCTCTGAGAGCAACTCCGACAGTACAGACAGCCTCTTTGAACGAGACCGGAAGCGCAGAAAGATACGTCATAATCGTTCTGAAAGCAGCAGCAGTGATACTGATTGCCCAGTTCCTAGACCTGCGATGACAGGTAAAAAGAAGAAATCGGCTACGCGAACAGTAGTCTCTGAGAGCAACTCCGACAGTACAGACAGCCTGTTTCAACGTGACCGGAAGCACTGAAAGATACGTCATTATCGTTCTGAAAGCAGCAGCAATGATACTGATAGCCCTCAACACTCACCTACTGCAGAAGTACGGCGAACTGTGGGTACTGATGACAAGAGTTACGAATCGCAGCCAGGCCGTGGTGATGAGTGCGGCAGTTCTGATGAAGGACAAGAAGTCACTGGACATACATCAGTTTTGTACCCTTGCAATGAACGAAATAATAATTATAGTGAGAATTTGCTCAAAACAAAAATGGGGTCAGAGAAAGTTGCTACTGTTTCTGAGACTGGTGTTCTTCTCACCTCCAAGGACCGCGATACTGAAGCAGCATTGTCGTTATCAACGTCGTCCAGGGCCACAGCTGACATGTCGGATGACAATAACAATGAGCATTTAACAGAGAGTCCCATCTGCATCATTTGCAGATAAGAATTAATCACAAAGCAGGTTGATATTACAGACACTTGTGGCCATAAATTCTGCGCTTTCTGTCTCCAAAAATGGCCAACACATTCCAATACTTGTCCAATTGATCGACTGACGTTTAATTTCATAAAAGTTCAACACCATCTGAATGGCGAAATTATCAATAGCATACCTGTGAAACCAACAGACCAACGAATCCATTTTGAAGATAATGATCTGCTGAACCTAATATTTTGTCACGTGTGTGGTTGTGATAGTGAATACTTGATACTCCTTTGTGTTTGCTGTGGATCTGGCTACCATATGGACTGTCTGGATCCTCCTCTGGATGAAGTGCCGTCGGGTGAATGGTTCTGCCCCGATTGCCTTATGTTGAACCAGATACATAGAAAATTAGGGGGGTGCCTCGCGACAGCAATGTGAACACTTCCTTACATTCGCGTATCACATCCTAAGAAGTGTGTGATTGCCTACAGCCAAGATGGAGGCCAATAGAAAAACCGACAAAGAAGAAATGCTGGCAAGTATGGCCAAATTAGACGCCAATCAAGAAAAGGCGGCGACCGATAGGAAGATAGACGACAAAGAGAAAACAGTTGTAGCGTGTTTCGAGTTCGAATTTTGCTCGTCACGTGTGTAAGTCCAGAGCCCACTTCTGACACCAAATGTAACGTGTTTAGACACTGAAGACGCCGTAGAGATTGTTAATTGCTTTCTTTAAAAACCTACCAGTCTCGGCTACAATTATTTATAACAGTGTTGCGGGGTTTCACACTTTATAACCCTATTCGCAATAATCTGTTCACTCTGTTGCGGGGTTTCACAATTTATAACCCTATTCACAATAATCTGTTCACTCTGTTGCGGGGTTTCACACTTTATAACCCTATTCGCAATAATCTGTTCACTCTGTTGCGGGGTTTCACAATTTATAACCCTATTCACAATAATCTGTTCACTCTGTTCTCAGTAGTCCACACGTTTTCACAGTACGGGAGCTATACAAGTGCAACTGTGTCACACACTCCCAGTTATTACTCAGTTATCACGAACTATCACTCGTTCACTGCTGACTGGAGAACTAATTCGTAGACTTGCTCGGAACTAACTCGGAACTGACTGTGAATAGTCTTCGCTGCTCCGTATCTAGACTCGTTCCGGACAACTCAGAAAACAGCCACGTAATAGGCACCGTTGTTGTCTGGTGCCGTGTTGCTAGCAACGCTGTCCGGAGTTGTTTACTGCTGCCTAGCAACCGCGGTATCCCTTGGTGACGTCACCGCTGTTGACTCGCGCTGCATAGCTACCAGGATGCTGGAACTCGGCTCGCTTCGGCTCCGCTCGGCTCACTTCGGATCCGTTCGGCGCGTCAGCTCCCGGGGTGGGCGCGTCCAGCTAGCGCGACACGTCACAATATATTAAATATTGCATATATTATATTAAATATATGTGGCTGCACATGTGTCACACTGTCGACACCATTTCTCGACATCGGTTCTTGCTTGGAGCCAGTAGAATCTCTGTCGAACCTTATTCAGAGTTTTGTTGACACCGAAGTGACCTCCTGACGGTCCACCGAGCAGTTCGCTCAGAACGTCCTTCACCCTGCTCCGAGGAATAATTATCTGGGCTACTTGACGTCTTCCGGTTGCGGTTTCCCAGTCACGCTCTAGTACGCCGTTTCTCACAGCGAGCGTTTTCCACTTGGCCCCGTAGCTTTTGTACGTGGGACTCCGATCCGCGATGTCCTGCCATTTCGGTCGTTGGCCGTTTTCTACTTCCCGTAGAATAGGCCCTATGTCTGGGTCTTTTAGTTGTTCCTCTCTTAGGGTAACAGGGTCCCAGCCGGCTGCCGGTAGGGTTCCAATAACGCGTATTTGCTTTACCTCTGCTCGCATCTCGACTTTGTGGCAGTGCGCACATTGCTCTTTGCAGGGTCGTCTAGAAAGGGCGTCGGCGTTGTTATGTTTTCGGCCCTGACGATGCTCCGAAGTAAAGTTATACTCCTGAAGACGCTGTATCCAACGCGCAGTTTGTCCTTCTAAGTTCTTGAAACTCATGAGCCAGGTAAGCGCAGAGTGGTCCGTTCGCAGATGGAACAGTTGTCCGTAGAGGTATTTGTGGAAATGTTCCAGCGTCCTCACTATGGCAAGTAGTTCTCGAAGGGTAACGCAGGTTGCGGGGACTCGGCTAAATTCGGCTCCGCTCGGCACGTCACCGCGGGGGGGGGAGGGAGGATGTTGACCTGCCTATTATCATTGCGCAACACGTCACACTGCTCCCTCCTTAAGGCTGTTCGTCCCGAATAGCCTAACGGTGCGCCCCCGTTCCTTTTCCGTCCCGTAGCTGTGCTTGCAGTGTCCTGTTGTTTCGGCTACTCCTCTTGCAGGGACTATTCTTCGTCCGTTACATCCGCTCCCCTCTTAAGACAAAGCTCGTCTCGAGCGGTTTCCTTTCAGCTCGCCAGAAGATCACTTTCGTCCATCGCTTTCTCCCATGCCACATTCACTCTCACTGGGGAGGCCGGTTCTTCTATTTTACCGGCTCCTCTTCTGTGCCCTGATTCTTTCTTCGTTTTGGAGGGGGTCGTCCCCTCCATAAGTTCCACTTCATATTTTCCGTAACCCGTTGGAAGTACCGACTACTTGTGTCGCGAACCTTCCACTGAAGATCACGTTACCGGTCTTCTCCCTCAGGCGTAGCAGTTCCTCCACGTCCTGGTTCCTTATGCCCTTGCTGCATTTCCGTTGTGGCTGACGCCGCCTCCCGGACGTCTGTCCTGTCACGGTTCCCCTTCTTCCTTTCCCGGCTTCTTGCCCAGCATTGACCCTCGTTGAACATCTCCTTACGGGATCTCCCTTGCGCCGTGTCGCACCTGCACGGCTAGTCATATTGCTGTCTGCAGCCAATTCGTGCCATGGGCAACAATTTCCTTGGGTCGTAGATTTCTTGAAGATGTTGCGTTTGCGCCATGCCACTGTTGCACGGCGGGACACCTTCCTGTGGACGACGGCCAATTTATTCTGGGGTCCGCAATTTTCCCGTGTCGAATTCTGCCTATTTCGCTGATGTCGGTCCCTGCGCCTTTTCTTCTTCGGTTCTCCGACGGGCATTACTTCGGCGTCTATTACGGGTACCTCTCGTTCTGCCGCCTCAGGTTTCCTGTGCACTGAGGCCGGTTCTTCATCTTCTGGACGTGCCTCCATTTCTTGGCAGGCCGTCGTCTCTCCGACCGGTATCACTATGGGGACCTCTTCTTGTTGTGCCGCCCTTGCTGGGGTTGCTCTCGTCTCCGCGGAAGTCTTTTCTCGCCAGGCGGCCATCTCTTCTCGCCAGGCTTTCATGTTGGCGTCCAATTTTGCCTCCGTTTTTTCTTGGCTAGCTCTGATTTCCTTGAGAAGCATTTCCATTATTTGCTGCATCTCCATTTTGTAGCAGTAAATTTCTCTGAGGCGTATTTAAGCTCGTAAAAATTCTGACACCAAATTGTCACGTGTCTTGAATTCGAATCTCGTTGGTCACGTGTGTAAGTCCAAATCCCACTTCTGACACCAGTGTAATGTGTTTCGTTACTGAATACGCCGTAGAGATCGTTAATTGGATTATTTAACAACCTATAAGTAACGGCTACAATTAATTATAACAATGTTACGGGTTTCCACACTCTACAAACCCTACAACCAAATCTCTTCACACTATCTTCAGTAGTCTTCGCGTATTAATAACGCGGGAGCTATACAAGTCTCCCTGAATTACACACTTTCACTCGTAACACGCCGCTGGCTAGATTCCAACTCCACTCGCAGGCTGCTGCCTTGGGAATTGTTGATAACACACTCTGACTCGTAGGCTTGCACGGAACTCTCGGAGGTAGCTCGAGGACTAACTTCGTATGCAGTGTAGGTCTCTTATAAACCTTCATCCGGACAACGGGAAAACGCCTTGCTTCCTTGTTGCCTGGTTGCCTGTTTCCCGATATCCTAGCAACGCCGTTTAGAGTTGTTTACTGTTGTCTAGTAACCGCGGTATCCCGTGGTGACGTCACTGCTGTTGACTCGCATTGCATAGCTACCAGGTTGCGGCTCCGCTCGGCACGTCACCGCTGGGGGGTTGGGGGGGAGGGAGGATGTTGACCTGACTATTACCATTGCGCAACACGTCACAATATATATACCACTGGGAAGAAATTTAAAAACAACAGTTTCCATAAAATTCCAGACAAAAACATGTTGATAAAACTATCACTTCTTTTGTGACCTATCCAAACAAATACTCACTCATAGGATATGTGTAGCTCTCCAACATTTAAAGCAGCAAGGCAGTTTTAACATAATCTGACAGCTGTCAGAGTGTAGGAAGTGCTTGTCAGCATACTAGCGACAGGAACACACAGGATATATTCATCATTAGTGAAGTCCATTGAATGTTTGGGAGATTGTGGCTAGCAACATGGCGGCTTGTGCGCATCTAGCAGAGAGCTGTATCTCTATATTCCTTAATAATGGAAGTGCTGTGCAAGAAGTGAAATGTTTAAGTTGTGAGGAATTAAATATTGAATTACTGCAGGCAAGGACTGAAATACTATCGTTGTAAAAAATAATAAAATTATTACACGAGGAACTAAACAAGAAGAGGTCAACTAATGACGATATTTCCACTAACCCCAAAGAAGTTGTCACCTTCGGTGTATCAACAAGTAAAAGCAAAATCAAGAATTTAAACAACTGCTCTAATGGAAAAGGTTCAAGCTTGGATAATGTTAATAGAAGTGTGGAAAACTCAACGCAACATAACCTCCAATTTTCGAGTTTGATAGATTTAAATACTTATGCAATACCAAGCATAATTAATGGAAGAATGTCAAGAGTTGATTCAAATCAGCTAGCAACTCTAAAAACACCATCATTAAAGGAAGTGAAACCAAATCCCTCCAAAATGTCAGAGAGATCAATTCATAGTAAACACGAAATTTGTATAATTGGTGATAGCCATGTTAAAGGCTTATCTGACAAGCTGTCTAGTGACCTTGACGAGTGTTTTAGTGTAATTGGTATCTCAAAACCCAATGCTAACACTGATGGAATCATATCTTCTTTAAATCTTTTAACAGAAAACTTTACAAAAAATGACCAGGTTATATTCTATGGTGGAAGCACAGATATCAGCAAGAATGAATCTAAAAAAGGATTCTATTCCTTAAAAACTT